TTATATAGAAATCAAATAAAGATTAGACTAAGAATACAGAAATAATTAAAAGAACACTTTTATGAAAATAATCATTCACCAACATTTACAATATGGGGCTGGTCTTGAGGCTAGCAATTCTGGATTACAAAAGTCTGGTTGTTTACCTCAGAACAAAGAGTTCTTTCTGATCATCATCTGCTGCAACCAGTTGAGTCCAGATTCTTTTTAGGCCAGATATGGTAGCCCAAACTACTTTTACCAAGTAATTACTAAAGGTATTCCTCATTTAACAATCATTCACTCAGCAACGATTCAATGTTGCAACAGCATTGAACAAATGGAATTTACAACATATTTGTATCCTGAATCGAGGGATTACAGGGTTGTAAAAGGAAAAAAAAGAAGTATCCTGGTTTTATTACTTTTACAAATAATACAAGGTGGTGAACATATCCAACACCACCTTTCTCCTCCTATTTTCCCCACAACAATAACCCTGTGAGGCGACTTCGGCTAAAAAGTATGACTGACCCAAGGTCACCCAGCTGGCTTTCATGGCTACGGCGGGACTTGAATTCACGGTCTCCTGCTTTCTAGCCTGGGGCCTTAACCATTAGACCAAACCAGCTCTCAAACTTGTCCTTGAAATTACACCTATTGCAGGGTCTTCTCATTTATATGATAAGAATCTGAGTGTTGGGCAGTCTGCTTGCATTTATGACCAAAGTATGCTTCAATGCCCCCCACTCATCTATCGTGCTGCCATCTCTGCTCTTTTGTCCTGCACTCCACTGCTCTGCCACCCTGCCATGTACTACATCTACTGCCCTGCTCACCCTGCTGACCTTCACCATCTTCTTCCTCCTGCTGCTCACAGGCAAACTTGGCTTGGTCCTCCATATGGCAGTTGCTGGCTCCATGAGCCTTGCCATAGAGTCAAGCCATGTGTGCATCAAAAGTATAAGGAAGAAGATGGTGAAGCTCAATTGGGACTGCAGAGTGAAAGGTAGCCAAAAGGGCAGAGATAGGGAGTGGGAGGATAAGTGGAGCAGGCAAGATAAGAAAAATGTGACCTAATGATGACACAGTCCTGGCCTAATGATTGCAACTGGGAGTAATGGAACTATCATTGCTAAGCAGTGCGATTATATGAAGTTTTGCCTGGCAATCGCTTCACTTAATGATATAAATTTCAATCCCAGTTAGGTTCATTAAGTGAAGACTACCTGTACCTTCAAGACTTCTACAGCATTTCCTGATAGAAAAGTTAATGGGTGTGATGGGCTGCATAATGCTGATCAGCAATTTTTGGGCAGTCTTCAAATTCAGTTCAAGTTGTTAAAAAAAATATTATGGCCAAAAGCTAGTAAAATCAGTAGTGACATGGAATACTACTTCTCTAGACAACGATTAGTGGCAAATTGAAAAACTCTCAAAGGTATCACTACTTGGAAGAAGGAAATTTAATGACATTTGTGCTCCTGTTATGATAATTCGAGTTCTGCAATCTAAAATCCATTCAGGCATTAGTGAAACTAGAGCGTTCACAAGGTGAACAACCAGATTATGCCCCATACCGTAAGTAAATATTTACTAAATAAGTAAATAAGCATGTATGTATGTGTACTTAGTGCCTTCAAATTAGTGTTAACTCCTGGTGACTCTCTGAATTAGTCCCTGTAGTTTTCCTAGCAAGGTTTGACAGAAGTGCTTTGTCATTGCCTTCTTCCTTGAGCTGAGAAAGAGAGGGACTGGCCCAAAGCACCCAGCTGGTTTTGTATGGCAGGACTAAAACTCAGTCTCCCGGTTTCTAATCTGATGCCTCAATGATTACCCCAAACTGCCTCTCCTGTTATTTCTCAAGTACTTTATGTACAGGATCTTAGCACACATTCAATATGTGAGAATTGTTTCTATTGCAAGCTGAAAATGCAACTGTCAATGGTAGTTTGATGTGATTTGAGCAATGTTGTTGACAGAGGGGTTTAAATTGAAGGACTCAATTATGAGCACCATGGTTTCTATAATGATAAAAAATAATTATGTGTAAATCCTGAAGAATTTTTAGAATATCAAAAATAAACAAAAATATCTGTTTCAATTGCTTACCAGCTGAAACAATTCTCAAACCTTTGTGAAACCAAAAGCTTTCTTTAGGCCCAATTAATTGAAAACAATGTGAAGACGTAACAGGAAGTAATATTCTAAACTACATACATAATTCTACATACAACATTCTAGAACCCTGATGGTGAACCTATAGCACATGTGCCAGAGATGGCACTCAGAGCCCTCTCTGTGGGCATGCGCACCGTTGCTCCAACCCAGCTCCATAGCATTTCTCCGTTGCATTTCCCACTGTCATTTGCAGGACTAAAAAAATGCATGAAACAGCATTCTGCCTTCGTCACAGTGCATTTGCTGTTGCTGCCTCCATGCCCTGCCCCTTGTGCAGCACAGTGAAATTTAGTGCGCTTCAGTGGGGGAGACGTGGTCCTGTCCTCCTCCTGGAGCCCATTACAACGCGGAGCCACAATGCAACCCTGTGTCGTCTTGGGTCGCTTTAGCATCCTGGATGTCAGTTGCTTTTCCTGCAGAGCTGCCTGTGTTGGGATGCCCCGCCTCCCTGGCGGCCAGCTGGGCTTTCCGCCAACAGCTGAGCGTGGGTGCGCTGCTCCTGGGCTCTTCGGCCTCCAGACGTCAGACTCCCACCACCCAACACCAGTTCAGGAATTCCTTCAACCACCACCCCCAGGGGGGGGGAGAAAGAGAGAAGAAAAGAAAGAGAGGGGGGGGAAAGAGAGGGAGAAAGAGAGAGGGAAAGAGGAGGGAAGGAAAGGAAAAGAGAGAGAGGGAAGAGAGAGAGAGGAGGAGGGAGAGAAAGAGAGAGGGGGAAAGAGAGAGGGAGGGAAAGAGAAATGATATTACAAAAGTTTTTCTTTTTTATTGTTGCTAAACATAATATTTCAAAAGAAAAAAATGAAGGGGCATAAAAGTACATTTATCATGTTTTTCATGATATATCATGTTTTTCTTAGAACAATTAGCTGAATTCTGCCTTGCTTATCATTATTTTAGGTAGTAAAACCTCATTATTCAGGTTAAATTACCATGCTAGCACTTTACGATAAATAAGTGGGTTTTGGGTTGCAGTTTGGACACTCAGTCTCTAAAAGGTTTCCCATCATTGTTCTAGAACATTAATCAAAACTAGAGAATGGGAAACCTGGAGAGAGAATTTAAAGTTATATAGAACTCATAGAAAGAAATACCAATAACCCTCAGGCCAATTCAGGATTTACTCCAATCCAGCACTGGAAATAATCCTGAGAATTTATCAAACTTGAGGCTGGATCTCAGGCTATAAAAACAACCCTCTACCGTAAGCATTTCCCTCATTTATTTAATTTATATTTAAGATATTCAAATTTTAAATGTTTGATTTTTTTTTAAATTTACAATCACATTACTCCACGTTTTCACATTTTGATTTTTATTTGATGGAATATAGGTACAGTACATATTTTCCATTACAACATTAAGTAATGCAATTTCTTTAATGTTGCCTTTCTGAACTACAGTTTGTCATATTTTCTACTCTATTTTGATAAATGTATTATCAACACTGGCCACCATTGTGAATGAGTGAATGCAAACCCAAAACGTGAGTTATTACCAGATTTATCTTTTTCTGTAAAAATATAAAACATGCTAAATTTAAATATAATTAAGCTTAAATATTGCTGAAATTATATTTAAACTAATTACTTATGGCTAGGACAGCCCTTTTTCAATGTAGTATTTTTGGCCTCTGAACGCTGGAAGTCTGAAAATGTCATCACAACAGGTAGGGAAATTCTAAATTTTAGGTTTTGGGGGCTTAAACTCAAAATGCAAAAATTAATCCAAATTTACAGAAAAGATTTAAGGCTTTGGAAATATAAAATGAATGTCTAAAAATGTGTTCAGAGTTTAAAAAAATAACCTTGGGATGCTAGAATCCATATAGAGCCCATACCATTCTTCACCTCTGGTACAGAAAAGCTAACACTGAAATAGTCCATATATAAATATGGAAGTCTTCCCTCTTTCCATACATTAATTTAATGTGTCATACATTCAAGGCATCTTTCTCTCTGTGTGTGTGAATATGTGTGTATGTGCATAAATGAAAAATCTAAAAAATATGGAAGACTTCAGGAAGCTTTCTTTTCATAGCTATTTCCATGTCTCCATGTAACTATTTGCATAATACTTTAATATAATCAAATTTTATGGTAACATTTGTGAATGATTCAGTATTTACATCTTCATTATGTAACGAACATTATAACAATGACGAACAAAAAAATCTCTGATCAATGGCAAGGTGAGGTACTCCTGTAAGCACCATTCCTGAGTTTTTATTGTGGGTCTCCTTGAGGCCTTTTTTGAATCAAAAGACTGTACATAGGCTATGTGTTTCCAATCTAACCTGAAAGGTAGTTTTTATGTGCAATGGGACTTATTCAGATGGGAGAATGACCAGGTAGCCATGAAAAAATATTTGCTCACCAGCAGTAATCTCAACAGTAAATTGTTTACCAATTATGGAGAAAATTCATTGTAAAACTCATTAATCTTATTATCCATCGCATGGTTTTGAAGACACGAAAGACATATGCTCTAATATAATCCTTCATACTTCAAAACAAATATTGAGACATTATACAAGAAATATTTGACATCACATCAGGTAGCCTTTGAGGACACTGAAATATTCACATTACAGTTGCTTCACAAAAATAACCAAATTAACTGCCACTTTGTAATTCTGTTTCCCTATTTAATATGTAATAGTCTCATTGAGCTTGTCTGTACAAAAGGCAGAGCCAAATGTCTATGAAAAAAGATGAAGCCTGCAATGCAGCAGACAAAGGTGGATAACTGTATCCATGGTAAGAAAAGTGGGCTTATTATGTAACAAACAAGATTGGTGGTTATAGCCATGGTGAGGAGATAAAAGTTATCAGGAAAGAGCTTATCATGTAGCAAGCATAGGGACTTGGGCTTTCTACTGAAGATCAAAAAGAGCCCAACCTCTTCTAGAAGACAGGAACAAAGCCCAGTTACTGTTTGTACCAAAGATGAAGGTAGATGACAGAATGTCAAAGAGAATGATACTGCTGTTCATCAGACTATTTCTTACTTTTATTCCATCTGTGTTAGCTCAGAAACCTGGAGTCTTCCACATCAGGCCAGAAAAAGGAGGTGATTACTGTTTTCTTTTCCCTTCACAATGGATAAAATCATATCAGGAAGACAACAAGAAACGCTGGTTTGACCTTGAGTCATTTACTCAGAACTTCACCTATTCAGCCATGTGTTGCTTGCCTTCATTCTTTGGGGAAGATGACAATGATGGAGGTGGATTTAGTACAAGAATTGCATCTATCAGACAGGGAAATTGCAATCTCTTTCAGAATGCAAGACTCCATCAGATTAATAGTACAGAGGGGCTTCTGATTCTTGGTGGAGACGCTCCATATCCAATGAAAAGTTTGAGATCTGGATACAACTGGGGCCACTGTGAAGAGATTACTCTCCCGGGATTTATGCTCAGTGATGTGGATATCCTTTATTTAATATTCAAAAATCTGATTAGAAATTTGTTATACAAAACTGGAATCATCTACTTGATGGCAATGGGCATAGTCACCATAGGAAGCTACTGGGCAGGAAGCACAGAGAAGAAAAAACAAGACAATATAAAAAATCAGGGCCAAACACAAGATTTTGATGAGATATCAATTGATACCAATGTCTGCTTCACATGTACCTGTATGGTAATGGGCACCTTCATACTTCTTTCTCTCTACTGCTTCTATGATTATATGATGCATGCAATGATTGGCATTTTCTGTATTTATGCATCTTTTAGCCTATACTGGTGTTTGACTCCATTTGTGAACAAACTCCCATTTGGGCAACATTTAGTCCATTTTCCATATTTTCATAAAGATCTAGAAATCAGAGCACTGCTTCTAGCAATGCTGTGTTTGTCTGTCAATGCAACCTGGATTATTTTCCGAAATGAAAACTGGTGGAGCTGGGTTTTGCAAGATGTTTTAGGAATTTCAATTGGCATTTACCTTCTGAGAACAGTTCACATGCCTACCTTAAAGAATTGCAGCTTGTTTCTGTTCACTCATTTGTTTTATGATATACTTTGCCTGTTAGCCACACCTTTTCTAACCAAAACAGGTAAAGACATTACAGATATGACAATATTTGGGTCATCTAACTCAGAAGAGATCCCTTTTCTGTTGAAAGTACCAATATTATCATCAACATCCTTTCTGGATAATGCTTCATTTACTGCTATAGGACTTGGAGATGTTGTACTTCCTGGTTTCTTGGTAGCCTACTGCCACAGATTTGATGTTCAAGTTGAGTCTCCAGGGATCTATTTCCTAGCTTCTATTCTGGCATACAGCTATGGTCTGTTGGTGACTTTTGTGGTAGCAACATTCCTACAGGCAAGTCAGTCAACTCTTCTATATTTAGTGCCTTGTATACTCATCACTACATTGACTGTTGCTGCTTTTCGCAAAGAAATAGTACTGTTTTGGACAGGTATTGAATCTGAAAATGAGATTATTCAACCTTCTTCACAAAAAGTCATCAAGCATTCAATTACACTGAAAAAGTCAGAGGAACAGCTCCATGGGCTAGAAGAGGAAAAAGATATTATTACTGTCACATTCCACCTAGAAGAGCTTAATAGTGACAACATATTCACAAAGCAATTATCTGACCAAAAGAAACACACAGAGAAGATGTATTGCACATTAAGCCACGCAGCACTTCTCAATCAACATCTGGTGTACCAAGAGCTGATTGGAGATGCTGAGCAGCAATATCTGGTTGGAAAAAACAACCTCTCATCTATTCAAATTTGCAACAATCTGGATGATTCAGATTGATCAAATGCAAGTCCATTAAACTTCCTTTGGGGCAAAAATCACTACACTGTCATTTTTATTGTGAAAATCAGTAGTTCTGAATCACTACACATCTATTGAAGCCACTACCAGGGTCACTAACATGACCAAGAAACAGAGCTTGAGAGAAATCTATGGCTAAAAGGCCCAGCTACACAAATAGCTGGGATAATAACAAGCTTGACTTTTATTATCTGGAGTTATCAGGAATAAAAACAATGCTTAGGAATGCATCCCCATAAACAACAATTACACTTGGCTTCTAAGTGACATGCCAGGGCCAAACTCCAATACAAAATGTAAACTGCATTTAACTTATGTTTAAATTTAAAACTGATTGTAGCTAATAATATTATCCAATTATATATTTAATCATTTTTGCCTTGTCTCTGGAAGACACATCAAGGTTGCATGTGCATCTGAGCTTTCAATCGGATACTACTGCAAAATCTGTTCCCTATTCATGATGTTGTGATCTCTATACCCTGCATGAACAGGAACTACACAAAGAGGTTCAAGTTGTATCTTATCTTCGGCTAAAAGACTCCTATTAATTTTATTTTCACATATAATATTATTTATTTTGTCAAGTTTTACTCCATCGGTAAATACAGAAGGCCGAATACGTGTCAATTTGACATTGAAACATGCTAAGTTACTGTTAATATTAACAGAGGGGAAAGGACTTGAACATTGTTAAATTTAATTACTCAAAGACTGTCAGTCATCTGACAAGATTTAATTACAGCTTTTAAACCTCCCTGTATTTCAACTGCAGTGTAATTCAATACACTACTAGTTATTTTATGGAAGAATACATTTTGTGGAATTAAATCGAAACCAGTATAAGAATTACTCAATGAAAAATAAAGCAGAAAAGTTTTTGTACCATACATAAACTAGAATAGTGATGAAGAATCACCAGTCTGAATGCTGGTTGTAATATGCAGTGCCTTCCTAATTTTTTTTTTTTAAAAAGTTTTCAACATAATGAAGATCTCTCATCTTGTTCTCAAATATACTGCATATTTGGACTTGCTTGTAAATATATGCAGTACTCTTTCTCTTTATTCTAAATTTAATTCTGTCAATCAGTCATTTGTAGAACACTGTTTGGTTATTTTTAATGAAAACTGAAAACCAAAAATGTTATCAAAGAATATTTTGCTCAACCCTGCTGCATAAATACTGTATTTTTCGGACTATAAAACGCTCCAAATAGGGGTGGGTTCTACTTACCTTTACTACCGGTTTGCAGCGGGGCCGCGCACCCCATTTTTGGCCTTCATGTGTTCCAGTTTTTAGCCCGTTCCAGGCAGTGGATATCGCTGCAGCCATCACCTATCCCCACACCTGGAACGGGCCAAATGCAGGACATGCGGAGGCTGAAAATGGGGCATTTGGAGGCCGAAAATGGGGTGTGTGAGGTGGTGAAAGGCAGCAGCAGTGATGGGTGGCAACAGCTGCGACGGGTGGTGGTGATCCCTGCAGCCTGGAACAAATGATAGGCAGTATTCCGGGAGGCCGATCAAACCACCAATCGGCTGCTTGTGCTAAATCAGGCTGTGCTGAAGCTGACCAGGCTGTTTGCTGTTTGCTGCAAGGAGGTGGGGGCTGGTGGGTGGGGGCTGACGGGTGGGCGGGGCTTCAGCAACATTCGCTGTATAAGATGTACAGACATTTCCACCCACTTTTTGGGAGGGGGGAAGTGTGTCTTATACACCGAAAAATACAGTACTTATAAAATTTTATACAGTGCCAATATGTTACAAAATCTCATACTATTGGCATATGTTTACAAATGGAAAACTTGTATTCTCCTTTCTCTTGGCAACTTTGGTGACACTTCATAATGATTCAGACTTCAACCCAAATAGTTGTTTAATCCTATAATCCCTTTGGCATAGCCTAGCTTTTCAGTGCCACAAGTTAAAATTCCTGCCTTTACATCAGCCATCTGAGAAAATAATTTTTTATATTTTTAAATTATTAATCAGTTTGACAGCTTGTTCCATTGTTTATTCAAATATTTATAAATTATCTCTTCACTCAAAACAGCTGAAACAAACAAATTCATAAAACAATTTAAAATTAACCAGAACAAATAAACTTTAAAGCAACAAGGGCAAAGCCATTCAAAATTCAACATATGGAAAAACAGATTTTATTGCCAATCTAAAAAATAGCAAAGGTGAGTTAAATCTTAGTTTTTTAGAAAGAGGATTCCAACGCCAAGATGCAAGCATAGATAAAATTTTGCTATGTATCTCCATCAATTTAACCTTTTAGCATTCAAGCCTTCTAAAGCAGATTTAAAGTGATAGCAATTTTCACATGACCTTTAACCAGTTAGCTTATTTAAACACATATGAACTGGGCCTAAAAACAAACTCAAAGCCATTTTTTTTTATTCAAGAGTTTATAAAATATTTTTATAAAATATAGAATTTTATAAAAGCTATAAAATTCACAAAATCTGCCTGCATCGAAACCTAATCCAACTAACACATTTAGGTACTACCATGTTTCCCTGAAAAGAAGACTGGGTCTTATTTATTTTTTTTACCAAGACTGTCTTATTTTCGGGGGATGTCTGATTTTGCGGCCAGCTGCCCACTCCCTCCTACCATCTGCTTGCCCATGGCCGCAATGGCTTACAGGGCTTCCCAGGGCAGACACACCTGGACAGAGAAATGACAGAGACGAAAGCTTCATCTACGTGCAAATGGATCACTTTGAAACGGAGTGATTAGCTCCATTTCAAAACGCCCCATTTGGAAGTAGATGAAGCTTCCAATCTCCCTCTGAGCGAAAAGTGTGCAGCGGAGCCAGAGGCATGGGGTGGGGAGGAGGTGATTCCAATGCACTGCCCACTCTGTCCCTCAGCTTGCCTGCAGCCATGCCAAAAAAGACACACATTGGAATCGCTGGCTTCCCCCATGCCTCTGCCTCCGCCTGCTGCCAGTGCCTCTGCACAAGCTCCCATGAGCCAGGCAGCCGTGCAGCATGTCCAGATCGCCTTTCTCTGCCCCCCGCCCTGCCTCTGCCTCCCTGCTCGGACTTATCTGCGCTGCACCAAGGGATCAGCGGGCTACAGCTGCTGCCAGACACCATCAGCCCCCACACTCTTAACCACCTCCTGTGCTGGGCACGCCCATCCCTTATTTTTTTAGGCTTATTTTTGGGGTACAGCTTATTTTAGGCCCATCCCCAAAAATCAGGCTAAGGCGTATTTTTTGGGTGGGTCTTATTTTCATGAAAACACAGTAGCAACACTTTCCGAATATTCTCCAAGAGTGGTTCCACATTAAATTGTAATTATCTAGATTGATGGTTGAGCATAAGTAATTATGTGCAGAGTCTAATCAAAGTTCATCTTTTCATCTCAGCCACCAAACTAAAAAACCCACAGCTCTTCGAAGATTTTTTTTCCTTCACTTGAGTGGAAACCTAATCCACTCAAGTGAAGAAAGTGGAATCCTGAAAATTAAAATAGGGCTGACTATGGAGAGTTGTCTGATGATTCTACCAGCTATGCAAAGATAAATACCGTATTTTTCGGCGTATAAGACGCACCTTTCCCCCCCCCCAAAAGGGGGTGAAAATTTAGATGCGTCTTATACACCAAATGTAGCCCTGACCACCCACTGGCCCCCACCCTTTGGCCTGTGCCTCGCAGCAGTTACCTCCTTGCAAGCAAACAGCAAGAAAAAACAGCTCCTTTCAGCTTCAGCATAGGTTAATTAGCACAAGTTGATTAGATCGGTCTCCCGACTCTCAGCTGATTTGCTCTCAGCTGTTTTGCGCAGGGCTCTGCTGCTTGCTGCAAAGAGTGCTGGAGCAGATTTTTTTTTCCCTAGCTATGCTGAAAAATGAAACTGAAAGTAAAGCAGGCTCTTTGCTGCAACGTGGCAAAATGAGGCAGAGACATTTCTTTTTCTTTTTCCTCACCAAAATGAAGGGTAATATTGGTTTTTTTTTAAAAATAGATGAGGAATAAATATGGCAAAAAGGAAATATAGAATTGTAAATTTAATTGAAATGACTAAACATTGTTTAAATTTGTGAACCAGCCAAATACTCTGTTCAAAGAAAATACATTGCATGTTTGTATGTGTGTTTGTCTAAAATTTTTTTTAAAAAACTTAAAAAAAAACGACAACCAAAAAAGGTAGGTGCGTTTTATACTCTGGTGCGTCTTATACTCCAAAAATACGGTAGTTCACAGAAATTAAGTTACAAAGTGTACCATTCCCTGATAAATATCACTGAGTCAACTTGCTGGGGATAACTTTTCTGCTCTTTCTATTACTCTGGTAAGCAAGGTAGTTCTGGGAACTCTCCTTTTTTCAGGCATTTTGTGATAAATTGTAGAAAAAAAGTTTTGTTATTGTTTTTAAAATGATTCCACCTCTCCCAATCTTCCAGGCTTTTCTAGAAGGACATGAGAGATCACACAAAGCAAATCACCCATATAATGAGTAAATCAAGACACAAAGCAAACTATCTTTTTGCAGACGTATTTCCAACTATTAGCAGTCAGGTTGCTACTTTTGTTCTATCATTTAAATTTACCGGTAGAAAGAAATATTTAAGTTCTCAGTTGTAGTTCTGCTTTTATCTTGGGTCAACCTTCTTATTTCTAAAATTTCTTTTAATGAGTTTAATAAGTTATAGAGATGTCATTAAAAAAACAATTAGAATTGTTACCTAAGATGTTCTTAGGGCTTCTGGTTAATTTTATATTCAATATCTCTTCCTGGATAAAATTCTAAAATAACACTGTAGCTAAATTTGCATTATTGCATACGCAACTCATGAGGAATTAGTTAAGCTGTAGACAGTTTAAAAGTAAATAAGATTTACTTCATCACTGTAATTCATCTAGTGTTAACGTCCTCATCCTCATGCTACCATTTGTTTTAGTCTGTGATCATAAATAGAGTTTGATTAATTAAAGTCATATTCACACATTTAGATAAATCAGGGGTCACCAACCTTTCGGACCTCAGGGACCACTAAA